GCTTGGCTATATCACACATTACTTTCCGTAAGTAAACTATTTGCTTTCTCTAAATTACCTATTAGCATCATAGAATCTGAGCATTGTATCATCTATGTACTTTCAAACATTTGTTGAATGTAATGAGAGACAGAGGACAAGTTCAAGGCGATTCACCTCCAGGATGGTCACTCTTGGTTTTCGGGTGAGGAGATGAAGGCTCATGGTGGGTAAGCACTGGCAGGTGAACTTGAGCCTCAGTGTGAAGCTGACCCCTCCCCATCACTTCTCTTCTCAGCCAATAAGGAGATGCTAAGGGACAGAGCAGTCTGGACACTCAAAGGGTGTGTCCCTTATCTCTGCCCCTTGTGACATGTCAGGTGTGATGACTACTTAGAGGTGGGACTGAGCCAGGAGGGACTGTCTGGAAGCCACGCTTCCTGGGACAGGGTCATCGTAAGCTGTCAGGCTGAGAAGTGGGGGAAATGCAGGCCAGCGGAGGAAACTGTCCTCGTGCTCTCCCTAACAGGAAAGATGGTGGTCACAGGCCAGTTGCTTCAGTGCAAAGCTTAGCAATGGAATAAAGGGGTTAGGGAGTAAATTTACAAAGATAATTGGAGAGATGAAGTCAATAACACCTTTTAAATACTGGAATTAAGAGTGGCATTAAATAAAAAAAATAAAGGAGTCAAACAAGTTCAGGAAGGATGAGTTCACATATTACAGATAAAAATCTCAATTATGTAAGTGGGAGATAGGCCATTTCTTCAGCTTAATTAGCCAGAAGACAGGTCTGCGCTGCAGGAGATGACTTGCTGCTGCGTGGTGGGCGGGCGATGTGCTGGAGTGAGCTATGCCCCTCACCACCCCTATTTATTTGCAGTTGAGATGAGGAAGTAATTCACTGTGGTGCTGACAACTGTTCAGACCATCACCGGGACATTCTGCCTGACTTGATGACATTAACGAGGATCGTGGCGAGAGGAGCCTACATTATTTAGGGATGTCATGCTTTCTGCCTCTCAGAGACTTCTGTTACAAGATACAACCTCCTTAAGAAGCAAGCTCCAGGCCCCTTCTTGCAGTTGGCTCTAGCACAGCAACTTGCATTCTATAAGGGGTGTGTAAATGCAGTTTTCAGCGAACACAGGGGGGCCCTTGAAGATACACTGATCCATGGAGTTATGATGTGTAAGCTTTTCTGTGTGCTTATCACACACACCAAGTAAGACACATTTGTTCAGAAAAAGCCGCACAGAATAATCGTTTCTTATAAATTTCCCACATTTCATTCCTAAAAGAACCAACTGTGTGGTGACTTAAATGTAACTGGATTCCTTCTGTGGACGGATGAATGGAGTGAAGTACCGCGTTAGGGCACAGGATGAGGTGGCTGAGTCACCTGGAGCTGCAGGCTGGAGAGACCTGTGGGAAGCCATTGCTCTGGTACAGCACTCCGTGTCCCAGGTAAGTCAGGGACTGCTTCTCCAGACTGTTTTCTGGATGCGCACAGAATAGAATTTCGGTTTGTTCCCGCAGCTTAACCTCATAAAAATTGCTGGTGCACTCATGTGCTGGGTGTTTCAGGGCTTGCTCCTCTGCCCGAGGTGCAACCCTTCAAGGATCCAAGCTTTCTCTCAGGGCCACGGTCCCATTCCTTGTCTTGGTTGAACCCCAAACTTGTTCCTGCAATGGCAATGAGCTCAGTCAGTGCTCACGTGTGCAGCTCTGCTTTCCAGGCCTTTCTCAGCCATGGCTGCAGGATCCACCCAAATGCCAAAGGGAGAGATGTCATCACTTCTAGCTGCAGCAAGGGGCAGTCCATAGGCAAGTGTCCACTTCCTCTGCTGCACCTGGGTCACCATGCAGTCGGCCTCCTGCTCTGGTGTGCAGCCACGAATGGGAAGTAGGCCAGAGCCTGGGCTACAGCACAAGGAGACCCCCAGCAGGACAAGGAGAGACGGAACACCCCGGGGGGACTGAGGAGCAAGCCTGTAGGTTCTGAGATTGTTCTTCTGTTGCAGCAAAACCAGAAGGGAATGACTGTGGCCCATTCTGGCCCCCAGAGGACCATGGAGAGCCACGTGGTGAAGGCAGGTTGCATTAACTCCTACCAAGAGTGGAGAAGTACCTGGAGCAACCAAATGCCCTACCCAAGGACAACTTCGGAAAACTCGGTGGCCAGAAGGAACAGGCATCTCTGCAAATACGTGTCCCCATTACTTCTCTGTGTGGCTTCTAGAGTTTGAGTTTGCTTTTGTGTGTCCTGAGGCCTGTCACGTAGAGGCACTGACTTTAAAATGTCCTGAGTTGATGGTGCCAAGGGGCAAATGTTCAAAGCAAATAAACATATTTTATAGGAATATATTCTGTTTTTTTAAAAAAATTATTTATTATTTATTTGCTTTGTACTAGGCATTGAAACCATGGGTGCTTTACCACTGAGCTATACCCCAAGTCCTTTTTAAAAAAAATTTTTTTAAATTTCAAGACAGAGTCTTTCCAAATTGCTAAGTTTCCCAGACTGGCCTTGAACTTGCAATCGATCCTCTTGCCTCTTGATCCCAAGTTACTGGGACTACAGGTATGGCCACCACTCCTGACTGTAGACATGTCCTCTTAAGTCAGGGCTCAAAAAATCCTCACAGATACATTCTGGCTAAACAGAAATCTTAGGGCAAAATTTAAAAGACAAAACCAAAAATTATAAATAAGACACAAGAACAGGATTGAGCATAGAAGAGAAAGCACAATTAGGCTCCAAGGAGTTGGGGCATGAGAATCTGAGAATATGAAGAGGCACATTCAAAGTGTGTGAATAAGTGGGAGAGGTAACCGGAAAAGTTAAGTGAGAAGGAGGAACTTCAAATAGACCTAGCACAGTGGAAGAGAGGCCCCTGTTAGATTTCAGGAACAGCAGCGAATTGGAGGGTGCACAGCTGGAGAAATACCAGTAAATTGGCACAGATAAAGAGATGAGCAGTGTGGCAAGTGATCAAGAGAAGAGAGTGACATGTCTGTCAGAGTCAGGAGAGGAGAGTATCAGAAAAGGGGAACTCAATATGCAGAGACAAGCACTGAAAAATTTCCAGAATTGATGAAAAATATCCTCGCTTCAGAAGCTTAAAAAGGTGGGGGGGGGGGATAGAAAGTGAAAATCATCATAAATCTTGAAGTGAAATTATAAAACACAAGTGAATAAAGAGGAGATATTAAAAACACAAAAGTCAGGGCTAGGGTTGTGGCTCAGCAGTAGAGCACTTGCCTAGCACATGCGAGGCCCTAGGTTTGATCCTCAACACCACATAAAAATAAATAAAGTGAATAAATTTATGTGCTGTTTTGAAGAGTTTGCTGGATGTAGGAAGTATACAAAAGACGTAAAGTGCAAATACAATGCAAGAAATGATGATGTGTCTAGGATAAAAACAGACAAATTACCTGTTGTAGGAAAAACCAGAACAAAGCATTGATCATAATGTAACTACATGAAGTGAAACCTGAAAGCCCCAATCCACCCTCACATACCATTTAAGAGCACGTGTGGGCCACAAACGTGGAAGACGGTGACTGGTGGACAGCACATCTGGTTATGTGGGATGGTGGTTGGGTGGAGACTGTGAGTGGGGAATATAAAAGTGATTTGCAAGGCTTTCCATAAGTTTTAAAGTTTTTAAGCTGGTCTGTGAGTTCATCATTCCGTGAGTTGCTATCATTCCATTGTATGTGTTCCTTGTTGGAATAGTTCATAATAATAAAAATGCTTTCCCTCAAGTCACATTACATGTAGCTTTTCATGCAGCAGAGCCATCCAATGCAGCAGGCAACAGGAGAATCTTAGCGTGTACCTGAGAAAGGAAGGCAATGTTGGCGGGCAACACAACAGCCCAAGGAAGCGCCCTCTCAGGTCAGCTGAGAGAGTCCTTGGGTTCAGTAGGACACTCACAGAAGCAAGTTTCCCATGCTCAATTTTGTCCTCTGAAAAAATGTGTGAATGGTATAATTTTCCTTGCAAAGGAATCCCTTGTTTGGGTGGAGAGAATACAGGTGGAGTACAGAATAGATGTTTAATGAACTGCTCTAACATCTTTCTGAAATGAGGCAGAGGGCAGCCAGTGAGGCAGAAATGAGATGGTACTTACTTCCAAACACCTGCAGCCAAAGACGCTCCTGTCTCATCTTTGTGTACACTTTTCTCACAGCACTTGTTGGTTCCAAACCCAAATCTCATGTCTCCTGCATAGGGAGCCTCTCCAGGAATGCTGTGCCCTGAGAGTCTCTGTAGGACCCATCCTCTCCAGCCCTGTGTCAAGCACACAATGGACACTCATTCTGTTTGGAGAACACTGGAAACACCCCCTTTTTGAAAGGAAACCTAGATAAATCATATAAACACTGTACCTAGTGAATCAATTTTAGCTTTCTCCTTGGGAGCTACCAAGAGTACAAAGAAGAATCATGCTAGCTACCCCTACCGTCCTTAAACAGCTCAATTTCTCGTTGGTGTAGGCACATTTCACAGCAGTGGCTCCATACTAAACACGCTATGTCACTTCACAAATACTTCACCTGTCAATACTTCTATTTATGTCACTCAAATGGGCATTGTAAAGTGTACACAGCACACCCTCTCCTTTTTAATTTTTTAAAATTTGTTCTAATTAGTTACACATGACAGTAGAATGCATTTTGACACACTATAAATGGGGTATATATAACTTCTCCTTCTTCTGATTGTCCATGATGTGGAAACACGCCGTTGGTGGAGTCGTATATACACATAGACTCCGCTCTAATCTCATACTCGTTTATGAAGATCTCAGGCCATTCGTGTTTTACAAAATTTCACGAAGCGGTGGCAAATCTCGATTTTCTGGGGTGCATTCCCGGGGCGCAAGCGCTCTCCCTCACAGAGAAAGGAGTGGTACTGACCCTCCGCCCGCGCAGCCCACGCCTCCTGTCTGCGCGCACAGGAGCGCGCTCTGCTGCCCTCCCTGGCTGCTCAGTATCCCGAGCCGCCGCCTTCGCGCTCTCCAGGCCTGTCAACACCTTGCCCGACTGTGGAGGTGGGCGGTGATCCATCCCGTGAGGATCCTCCAGTCTCTGCCGAGCACCGTGACTTCTGGGGGGACAAGGGAGAGACACCGGGCACGCAGACTTCAACTGGGTTGACCTTCACTCCCTTCAGGGCAGCAGAGCCCGGAGCACCCGACTCTGCCCACCACCGGGAGGAACCTAGAGAGCGCTCGCCCGGTGGACAACTCGCCAGGCAGACACTGGGAGTGAGTCGGAAGAGCCAGCGCCTTGGAGAGGTGGCATGGAGCGCGTGGGTGCGCGCGGAGCCCTCACCCCTAACAGCTAAGTGCAGCGCGGCGGGAGGGAGAGGCTCAGAGCAACAGGTATGGTCTGGAGCCACTCCAGGGGCAAAGGAGCACAGCCAGCAGGTACCCAGAGCCCGTAAGGCGCAGAGAGGGCTCTCTCCACTTGCAGACTGCAGCAGGCGCGTTCCCTCCTCTCCAGCTTAGTGACCGCGCAGCGGTCGGTCGGAGGCACCCAGGAGTCTGGGGGACCTCTGGGATCTCGACCATCTCCGGTTTGGGTCCGCGCCTCCTGTCCGCAAGACCCGGCACAAAGGCACGCCATACACTGCTCGAGATCGAAGCGCCCCTAGTCCTGTTCATCCGGGAGGATCCCTAGTGCTCTGCGCTGGAATCCCCGGCGGCTCCCAGCGCCTGCTTTCCCAGGCAAGCGCTCCTTTCTGTGCGCCCCGCCACCCTGCTCCGCAGCGGGTAATGGAGTTGGCGACTGCGAACTTCAGTGAGGGGAACGCGAGCGGGCCCGAACCTCCCTCCTCGGAGGCACCGCCGCTCTTCGGCATGGGCGTGGAGAACTTCGTCACGCTGGTGGTGTTCAGCCTGATCTTCGCGCTGGGCGTGCTGGGCAACAGCCTGGTGATCACGGTGCTGGCGAGGAGCAAGCCCGGCAAGCCGCGCAGCACCACCAACCTGTTCATCCTCAACCTGAGCATCGCCGACCTGGCCTACCTGCTCTTCTGTATTCCTTTCCAGGCCACCGTGTACGTGCTGCCCACCTGGGTGCTGGGCGCCTTCATCTGCAAGTTCATCCACTACTTCTTCACGGTGTCCATGTTGGTCAGCATCTTCACTCTGGCCGCGATGTCGGTGGACCGCTATGTGGCCATTGTGCACTCTCGGCGCTCCTCCTCCCTGAGGGTGTCCCGCAATGCGCTGCTGGGCGTGGGCTTCATCTGGACACTGTCGATTGCCATGGCCTCACCTGTGGCCTACCACCAGGGCCTCTTCCACCGGGACGTCAGCAATCAGACCTTCTGCTGGGAAGAGTGGACCAACAAGAGCCACAAGAAGGCCTACGTGGTGTGCACCTTCGTCTTCGGCTACCTGCTGCCGCTGCTGCTGATCTGCTTCTGCTACGCCAAGGTGGGAGCGGCGACTTGGAGGGAGAGGATGGATGGAGGGGCAGTGGGGCCCTGTAGCTCCTCTGGTCTCCGCACCCCTCTCTGCATCCCCGCCCCCTGCCTTCTCCCAGGTCGGGTGCAGACTGACTTATACGGGGGGGGGGGGCGGGCCTTCCCCACTCCAGTTTGCCTTCTCCTCTGCAGGCTCCTGCACAACCGGCACGAAAGTTAGGTGGAGTCTGGGGGGGCTGGGAGGGTTTGCTCTCTAGACTTTGGGTAGAACGGCTTTGTCCACCCTTCGCTGCTTCTTGGGCACTATGGCCTGTAAAGCCCACTGTGGCCGGAGGGCGCTTGCACTTCTGCTGTTTAGAGACCCCGGGTGTTGCAGCAACTCAAACAAAAACCGCCAGCGCCAGGCAGTAATTTGGGCGCCTTGGTGGGACCCACCGCGAGAGCGCAGTGCCTGTGAGCGCAGGCTAGTTGCGAGGATGGGGTCGCAGTCACCCTCTGGTAGTTTTCACCTGGGACCGGCTGGGAGGCTCACGGCGGGGCGCTCTTCCCCGCGCGCTCTCTGAGGCCGCTGCTCTTAGGGACAGCGCTTCGGATTTTGCTTTACACAGAAGTTTAGCTTTACAAACCCCAGGGGGAAGCAGTTTTCTTCAGAGGCTCGATGGAGTCTCCAGAGGGCCCTGGTGGAAGGGGCGGGAGTGCTACTTCCCCATGTGCATCAGGTTTTAGAAAGGTGTGGACAGTGCTGAGGGCTTCAGGTGGTCCTCTAGAATCCCCATGCTGGAGAGGAGCAGCGAGGACTCGCTGCTGCCGCAGTTTCTGCCTCTCTTCCCTTGGGGGGGGGGGTAGTACTTATCCTGCCTTACAGATCCCACAGAGATCCACGCTCCCCTCCTCCGTCTTGAATTACTCAGGGTGAAGAGTTGACATGGATCAAAAAGTCAGAAACTTCTGTGGCACAACCTGTTTATGTTTGAGTAACCAGGAGTATGTGTCATCATCGTCTGACAGCAGTACTTAGGGTGAACTCCCGGGTCCCCAGTATCTTCCCAGCGAAGTGCCATCATCATCAGAAAAAAACCCTTGGGAAGCAAATTCTGAAGTTCCCAACTAACTCATCTCTCCCAGCCTCTCTGACTCTGACATATAAGGCTGGCTACAGGACCATAAGTAACTATGGAAGATAGAACAATAGCCACTTTTAATATTCAATCATAAGGTATTTTCCCCAGGAAACATGTTTAATATGAATCACCCGAATCCCCCATTTGAACCATCTATGTAGATTATGTCTACTTTGAATGATAATATTTTTGGATATTATTTGAAAAAATAGCTTGCAGCAAAAGGCATACATAAGGAAAAACAGTCGAGGTAGTATTTGGAAATTAAGTGGAGCTTAGCTATTAGCTATTGGCTATTTTATTTATTTAGTTTTCTGGAAAAACAACAACAAAAAACACAACAAAACAAAAAAACAAAAACAGTTGTGAACAGCACAGCTATCTGAAATGTGCATTATCTCACTTAATTTACATCTCTATGGAGGAGCTATCATCCCTATTTTATTAAGGCAAAGGAGTGTTGGAAGTGTGAAGCAAACTTCTTTGGCACAACTTGTTTCTGTTTGAGTAACTAAGTCAAGTGTAGATTTAATAGTCCCATGATAGCAGTACTGGGGGGTGAACCCTAGAATGCTCTGCATCCTCCCCTCAGAGTACCTTCACCATTAGACAAGCCAAAGCCACTTGGATACAAATATCTGGCATTCAGAAAGACTTCTAGGAAGGGACGATAGGTGGTTGCTAGAGGACAAAAAGCTTGGGCCAAAGGGATTCTTAAAATATCTGGCTCTTAATTTCCCAATTCCCTATATTTGAACTGAAGACATGCTTTCTTCAATTCCCCAAAGTCTTTAGAAAAACCACTTATTATTTTCATAGAAATGAATGATAAGGTAAATTTTGGGACTAAATTGGACTATCATTTTAGAATTTATAAAGGTCACACTAAAAACAAAGGTTTAAAATTTAATTGAAAAAAATAAAAACAATAATTGATGCATGATCATTTGGATATTTTATATATGGAAATAGTTTGCTTCCAAGAATAAATAAAAATATCTTTTACATCCAAGATAATATTTGCAAATTCACTTTAGGAGCTAAATTGCCGGAGATCAGTTATTTTGGGCTGCCTTTCCTTGATTTAGGCCCTAAGTGTGTACTAGCCGATGAAGAATTTTGGTGCTTGAGTGTTCAGATCAGGATGGCTGTTTGCTGGAGGAGCAGGTCGGATGCCCACACATCGGCCAGAAGGGCACCTGGGTTACAGTGTGTGTGTGTGTGTGTGTCTAACATAGTGACAGAAGTGGATTCCAGAATCACCTTTGGTAAGTGCTTTGTGGAGCAGCTCTTTGCCTGAAAGTCCTGGGAAGGGCACAGCGTGTGTGGACTGAAGAGGGATCTTGGTGGTGGGCCCTTTGTCCCCTTGGATTGCTTTGTTCCTGCTGCTATAGACCCATCGCCCCCTAAACGTGCTTCACTGAGCATGAATTGCTGTCTGGAGCCCTCCTTGGTTTCTCCACATCCCAGGGTGTGCCCAGTGTGACTTTGGCTGGTATTTGGGTGGGCACCTTCCCCCACACTGGGCCATGCATGTGGAGAAATGACACCATGCCAGCATTATCTTCCAGAGAATGCAACCATTGCCACTTACTTTCTTTCTCTTTTGATGCAAGTCTTGGTGAGGGTGCATCATAATGTGTCATGTGCACTCACAGCATGAGCTATTGAGGAGAAACAGCTACACAGTATATTCGAGACTCTTCTCCTTTGAACATTCAATGGCATTCAGTGTTAGGTGTGTTGAAGTTGCTCAGCGGTGACTCGCCCTTTGTTGTTGATGGTGTGCGTGGACCCTCACTAGCCTGGTGAAGCTTGCTGCTTGTGCGGGTGTGCCCCTCTGATTTCAGGTGGGTGGCTTCTGTTCTGGTTGCTCCTGTGTCCCTTGCTCTCAGTGCCCTTTGTTGCCCTGTGAGCTCATGTGGCTAGGCTGCTGCTGACCTGCTGGCCAGGACTGTCCTCTGGGGCAGGCTCTGCCTTAGCCCTCTCCTTCCTCCTGGAGACTTTCTTCCTTGATGCTGAAGTGAAGGCTCCCTTCTGTCTTCACCTTTATCTAGCTTGTGGACCCACTTCCATTGGCAGGACAGTTACCCGTTGTCAATGTACTGCGTTTATCCCTAATGCCCCTGTACAGTAGGGCTTGTTTTGCTATCAACGATTCTGAGCCAGCTCAGGAGGAGAGAAGTGTTTTAGCATCATGGAGAATGTGAAACCAAAAATGCACACCCCAGTGACGGCTGCTCAAGCTGAGCAGGGTTTGGAAGGTTGGTAGGCAGATCCTGTGGTTTCCCAAAGAGGACCTGGCTGATGGCTCCATATGTGCTCCTTGTAGCTAGGGAGCAGGATGCTGCAGGAAGCCCACTTCTTTATATTATTTCATGCTGCGGTGCTAGAGGGAGACAGAACAGTGGCAGGAAGCTGCTTTTACTTCTTGAGAGACATGTCAGCAACCCACAGTCAGTCTAAAGCCCTTAGTCATCCAGACAACGCTTGCTGCAGGTTGTCCCCAGGAGGAGACTGAAAAATGAACTCCATCATCAGTTCTGCAGGGTTGGCTCTGTTGGTCAAGTTCAGTTTGGAAATTCCTATACATAACCAAAGCTTTTCACGTCTTCTGAATATTACACTGGCAAGAGAAGACACAAATGTTTTTTTAATTTAATGAAGCCAATGTGCCTCCAGGGTGCTCCCCGACAGGGACATCCATTGCAAAGCCCTGCACAATGTGCTGTCCACCATCAGTGATACTGGGTTCCTGAGATGAAGTTGTCTAAAAGTACACAGCCAATGAAAGGAGGCCTGGTGGGCAGGGTTTTGCTTTGAGGTTTGCAGTGGAAAGAGGTCTTCATGGGAAAACAGAATAAATAAGCTGAAGTGAATGCCAGTGTGATCTGGTGTGGCCGCACTGAAGAGACAGCTGGTCACATCACCTGCTTGTCCACATTGGCTGATGACCTCCCACATGTGCATCTCTAGGTTTCAGTGTATTTATGACCTGATATTGTGCCCAACATACAGCAGGGCCCAGGTGATGGTTGACACATGGACCAGGAAACCGAGGCAGAAGATAGACCAATAGCATGCACGAGCGGGCCCTGGGGTGGCTCTGTCTGGAGGAAATTCCAGGTCTGTTTGCACGAAGACTCTGTGAGTACAAACCGTGCCTGGGCGCACCAGTCTTCCCAGACAGTCCTTCCTACATGCTGGAGAAACAGGTGCACTCTGCAATTCAGACTTGCTGTTTTGCTGCCCAACATGTATTTCTGTTTTAACAATTTTATGAGCAATGGTACTGCCATTTTGCAATGTCAGTAATCGTTAGTACCAGGCAGGCAACGTGTTTTGAATGTGGAGCAAACTGAGTTCACTGGTCTGTGTTTTGCAGGTCCTTACTCATTTGCATAAAAAGCTGAAGAACATGTCAAAGAAGTCAGAAACGTCCAAGAAAAAGGTAACACAACAAATACTGCAACTTTCACTTGTGCAAGCTTCGTTCACTTTGGTTTTTAATTATACTTACACCCTCCCCAAACCTGGTGAGTGCTGGCCCCTTGGAACAGACACTGGCATGAGCTCTTACTGTGAAGGTGGCTTGAAGGTCAGGCTGGTGAGGGCACCATCACATCCAAACTTACAGGGCGTCGGGGAGGTGTGCTCGGCGACTTTCCATGCTGTGACCCCAACACCTGATCTGGACGACTTACAGGGCAGAGATCCTTCTGACTCACAATTTCAGAGGCTTCAGTCTGTGGGTAGCGGGCTCCATTGCTCAGGGCCCGAGTGAGGAAGTACATCATGGAGGAAGGAAGTTGCTGGCACATGGCGGCCAGAGCAGGGTGGGGTGGGTGCAGGAACAAGAAGCTGTCTTCCAGGGCATGCCCCCAGTGACCTACCTCCTCCAACCATGCCCCCCACATTCCCAGCACCTCCCAGAGGTCCATTCAGCTATTAACTCACGATCCAATCACTTCCCTCCTCTGAACACGGCTGTGCCCGTGTCCAAGCCTTCAACACGCCAGCCTCTGGTGGCCATTCCATATCCAAACCATGGCAGGAGGCAGGGGTCCCCTGGGGGGCACCTGCAGGCTAACCTGGTGAGTGCATGGGTGCTGATGGACGTTTTTGCGAGGAAGTGGAGTGTTTTATTCTGTCTACCTTCCCGGTGAGATTCTGAAAGCCCTGGTGCTTCTCATTTGGGAGAGTAAGTGCCCCGAGAGCCCAAGAGCTCCTTCCTGGCCTTCTCTTCCCTATCCCTGTGCTGGCGCTGGCTCAGAGCTGAAGGCTGGGGACCATGCCACTCCCCACATCCTCCCCTCCCCAGAGCCCCACCAGCCTAAGAGCCTTCACTGAGGACACTGAAGCACCAGCTCCCTAGGATTCATGATGTTTGCATGTTGAGGAAAAACCATGTCACACACCAGGTTGATTTAACTCTTACTCAGATAACGTCTATGCAATTATGACTTTGGACAGTGGACTGAAATTATCAGGCAATCTGATTCGGGACAATTTATACAGGCTTTCTAACCCACAACTCTTAGTAGTAATATCTTAAAATGCTTGGCTTTTTAAAAAAATATTTATTAAGTTGTATATTTTTTAGATAATTCATATTTTCTCTAAGAAGATCTACTAACTTATAGGAAGACTTCTTCCTGATTTCCTGGTTCACGTACAGCCACGTGGCTAAAACCCACCTGTTCCTAGAGCTGACAACTAATGGCATAAAATTGGTTAAAAAGTACAAAACATTGAGACATTTTTTGGGAAGCAAAATCAGCTTGCATTAGAAATGCCACCACGCCTTTTCTCAGCTAAGTGCCTAAGAATAAAAGTCAACATATGGAATAGGACATCTCATGGCTTCTTTTCATTCATTCTTCTTTATGTTTAAACAGGGGAATATGTGGGCTTAATTCTAAACCTCTAGGCCCCTCTTTAAGATCTGACAAGTTCTTATAAAGTTATAAGTGCTATATAGTGTTAAGTTACATGAATACAATAAACTAAAAAAAATGGTGTGCTCCTCCTCCTCCTCCTCCTCCTCCTCCTCCTCCTCCTCCTCCTCCTCCTTTCTCTCTCTCTTGAAGAAGAAAAGTTTATTGGTGCTTATGGTTCCAGAGCTCTCCCTCTATCAATGGTCAATGTCATTCCTTGGGGCTTGAGGTGAGGAAGAACATCACATCATGGCACGGGTGTGTGGGGTGTGGTGGAGGAAAGCAGCTGGAGGTATGGCCCCCGGGAGCAGAGAGACTCCCCTCACCACTGACAAATATTTGCCCCAAAGGCACGCCTTGAACAACCCGCCTCTTCTAACCACCCTACCTGCCCACAGTTACCACCCAGTTAACCCCTATCAGTGGATTAATGCACTGATCAGGTTAAGGCTTTTATAACCCAATCGTTTCACCTCTAAACTTTCTTTCATTGTCTCACACATGAGCTTTTTGGGGACACTCAACATCAAAACCATAGCACCCCCTAACGCAGCTCCATCCCATTCATCCTCCTCTGTTTTTAATGATATACTGTGTTATGTCGGGGTTTTTACATTTTTCCAGTCTTTTAGTTTCCTCTGAACCCCATTTCTCATCTCCCAAGAAAACAGTTCTTTAAAAATAATGAAAGATGGTTTATAACTTCCCCTTGGATAGTCATCTATAGCTGACCACCTGCTGGAAGACCGGGCCTTGGAAGCCGCATTGGAGTGCCAGAGAACAGACATGTCAGCCCAAGGTCTTGCTCAATGTGATGAGCATTTCAAGATCCTGGGTGGGGGGATGTTGATTTCCTTCAGGAGGAAGGGGCTCATCAGACTTTAATAGAGAGGACAACATATGCTAAATGTTTATTATCGATTCAAAAATTTTATGGTTACTAGAATGAAATAAGACATTTCCTTAGTAGTCTATAGATTTTATTAGTGTCTGAGGTTAGTTTTATTCTGTGTATTTGAAAAGATGTTGGAGAAAAGCTTTAAGGGTTGCAGAGCAAAGTGCTTAAAAGAAAGAAAAAATATAAGAAATGACTAGAAGCCTTCTGTGCTATTTTATGATAAAAACAGAAAGATGAATGGCTAGTTTAACAATTATTTTATATAAATGTATATATACACACATATGTATGTGTCTATATATTTATATATATATATACATAAATACATATTTATATATAGTCTTCTTTTGTTCATTTTTACCGTATAAGAATGAAGGGGAGAAAATTCATCTTCTTTCTCCCAGCCTCTGACCCCTTGCAGCCTCTGAACAGATGTCAGATCTCTTCTGATCTATTTAATTGACTTTTGTTTGCATAGAACAAATAGATGTGGTGGAGTGGGGGTGAGGGTGTCTGAGAAAGAGATAGGAGAGGTGCAGGGGAGAGGCGTGGGGAGGGGGTGGGAGGAAGAAGAGAGGAAGGGCAGAGAAAATAAGAGGTGCAGAGAGGGGAGACAGAGGAGGGAGAAGAGAGACCAGAGATAGGACAGGAGGCCTGTCCCCTGGCCGTGGACAGCTGACCCACGGTGGTGTTTTCCTGGGTCTCAGTGCAAAGCACTGCTGCTGTGCACACGTCCTCCACATTTCGGGGAGAACGGATGGAAGTGGTGCAGGCAGGTGGACACGGATGGAGGTGATGCAGACTGTGGGGAGCGGACCAATGGCCACAGGTTCTGATACATGTGGACCAAAAGATAAAGATTTGGTATTTCACTCTTTTTAACTCCTTTCTTTCCAGGCCTTCTTCTCAGTGGCTGAGTAAAATTTCCTTTCTCTGGGCTCTGTCTGTTTTTCTTATTTGGTTGAGGATGACACAACAAAATACCACACCCTCGGGGCTTACAGACAACAGTCATTTATTTCTTACGTTTCTGGAGGCAGCAAGTCCAAGGTCAAGTGCCATCAGCTCTGGCATCCGGTGAGGGCCTGTTTCCTGTTCATAGATGCGCTTTCTCTGCCCACTCCCGAGGTGGAGCAGCTCTGGGCTGTGTTGAAAGGGCACTAATCCCACTTAGCAGGGCTGCACTCCATGACCCAGTGGCCTCCCAAAGGCCCTGCCTGCTGATTCCTCCTACGGTGACCAGGGTCCAGCATGAGTCTCAGAGGGGAGGGCACAAGTGTTCAGACCATCTCTATGTTCACAGGTTTGCTGAGTAGGATTTGATCATTATTTTGAAGCAAGAAAGACATGCTAAGCAGTTATTCTCCATATTTGGAGGAAAATACAAGGGAAGATGTGATTCTCTTGCAGAAGCAATAGTGTAGAGCCTGTGATTGATGAAATACTTGTTTACGGTCGGTTAGACGTGAAGATGTCTTTCTGACATGAGACTGACTGGATTCTAGAATAAATTCTTAAGCAATGCTTCAGAGCAGGGTGCAAGTGTGCTGGGTGGGTGCCCCAGGTTGAGGTCGGGCACAGGCGTCTCAGGTCCCTCCAACGGCTGGGGTCGTCACCAGCTGCTTTTTTTTCTCCTTTCTCTTCTGTTTTTCCGATTTGAAGTGTTCCTGCAGTGTTGGCCTTATCTATGCGACTGAGGCGATGCTTTTCATGTGAGTCATTTTCTCCCCAGTTGAATTCCGGGAGGCACAGTGTGCATGAGGCTGCTTGAAGAAGGACAGATGTCTCAGATGACTCGAAAAGAGGGTCCCGCAGTCAAGAGAGACCAGCTTTTCTCCTGTTAGCTTAAGGAACAAAAGGAAGCCATACTAATGACCCAGTTTCAAGGATGGTAAGATTAGTACAGAAACTTGGTACAACTTCCATGACTTTTCTATCAGAATCTCGGGACTCTGTTCTCTAAATTGGCAAGTTAGGTCAGTGGCACATACATTGGGCGTAACTCTGTCTCTGGGAGAGGCAAAATGATTCTGTAAGAAAAAATATCATGTTAGAAAAGAAAAACAGTCAGTCTTCTTTTCCACCAGGGGAGCCCCTGCTCTGCTTCTGACATGCCCACGCAGGGGAGTCTGCGCCCTGGTGTTTCAGAGGGAAAGAAGGGAAGCAGCTCTTCTTGCTTGTTCTGAGAAGGAGGCTGCTCCAGCCTCGGGGCTGCGGGTGTTCAGTGAAATGTCTTGGGTTGTCTTTGACTTGAGGTGGGTGAGATGATTCACTTTTATTGTAATTCATCAAGCTCCTGGCGGAGCTTATTAAAAAGACCGGTTCCCAGGTAACTGTCCACTAACCACTACTGACCGAATCAGCCATGGAGACCCGGTCGAGACTTCTGAATTTCCAAGGCCCTTGGGCTGGGTCCTGATGGCATGCTGATCTACTGAAGTCCCAGGGATGGCTTTAGCACACAGGCATTATTCTGACTAGATCTTGACTTTTGAGCTAGTACATTCCAGACACTCAGTTTTCAGAGTTTGACATATTGGAAGAAGCTGTGAATCGAGAAAGGTGGTTTCCTACCGGTGTGGAACTTCTTCCTGCCCCATGTCCTGTCCTTCAGGTCTACCAGCACCCGCTCAAGGGAGAAAGAGCACCCAAACCATCTACTGTCCCCAGCCATGCTGAGGTGGAGTCAGCCCGAGCTCTGGAGGACCAGGCACACAGGGCCTATGTGCAGGGTGACGTGTGAGCTGCCAGGGAACGCCAGCCCAGCGGGTGTGGTGCTGGATGAGGGTCCCAGCAGCAGTCAAGCGCTGAAGAGCCTCCACTGAGAGCAGTTAGTGGGACAAGTACACGATCACAGGCCTTTAGGAGCCTTAGATAAATGATCATTTATGCAAATACCTATTTGGTATACTTTCCAATATTTATATTGCAGGTCATAATTCAGTCACATTTCAAAACTACCGTTAACCAAGAAAAAAGTGGCTTTCTTTCATGTTTATGAGAAAACTAGTGGAATTACTAAAAATCTAAAGGCAAAATTTTTATGAACTTGCAAACAAGGAAACAAACAGTGTCGTAAAAAATATTCCGTACTCAGGACACACTGTCATGTGCCCTGTGGATCTTGATAAGATATGGATCTTCATAAGGTGCTGGGATCTGTTTCTGCCCTAAGCTTTGATCTTAGTAAACATTTCTGAAAAGAAGCAATGAAATGGATAGAGTATCGATAAGGGCTGTTATTTTTTGAAGTGAAGAGATAGTCTGATTGTCTTCGGGAAGAAAAGGGGATGTTTTCCGATCAATTTGTGGCTATAATCATATCTGGATTGTTTGGTTAAATCATCTGAGAACGGCGTTTCTCTTAGTCTAATGGATAAATGGACTGACAGCAAACACCCCTTATATAGGCGAGCAAACCTTCCATTTGCCTTGTGTGCCATACAGTAAGTGCCTTTAACAAGCCTTCACCCGGTAACACCTGTCCACAGCTTTTTATAGTTGAGTTGTTTTACTGCTTAAATGGACTAGGCACAGTCAAAGAACCATTTCCTTGGTTCATCATCTTCACAAATGAGTAAGTTGAGGCTCAGGGAGGAGATCTAGATATATAAAATAGGTATATGTAATAATATATGTATGTGTGTGTAAATTATAAACATATATCTCACATGGGGGATTGAACCCAGGGTCACTCTACCACTGAACTAATTTACAGTCTTTATTTTATTTTGAGATGAGGTCTTGCCAAGTTGCTGAGGCTGGCCCTCAACTTGTGATCCTCCTGCACATCCAGCAAGGTCATATCATATTCGAAAGGCCATGAACCACTGGCTTTTGGCACAGACCTGCTGTCAGTCCCAGAACCTTGCCTCTTGATAGTGAGCTCACTTCTGCCTTCTGACTCTGACGTTTGCAGTTTGACTTGAGATCTAGCGGTCCTTTAACCACTCCACATGTGAGGTGCACAACCCTGGCTGTATGTGAGAAAGGACAGGTCAATTGGTTTCTGCCCCTTGGACAAGGGGAGGCAAGAATGTGTCTCAATGTTTTGCTGCTCCCTGTCTTTACCAAGAGTGAGGACCGTGGTAGAGGGCTGGGGCTGGAAGTGGTCACATGGGGAGGCCAGGAGTGTCCTTGTCTGATGAACTCACAGAGCAGAGGTGACTCCTGTCTTCTCTGTCCACCGCATAACTGCCACCTTCTGTCCTTGAGAAGCAGCCCAGGTGACCGCAGAGGGGCTGAAGTGCCTGGGGAGATCTGTGGGCCCCTCCTGCCAGCCTCTGCACGTGGATTTGGGAACACACAGGCCTGGTTTAGCTCTGACTCTGCATCCCATGAGGGGCATTGGGCACTTGCCTCAATCTTCTGAGCCTCAGTTTCCCCATCAACAACCTATGGATCCTTTAGGGTCGCTTCACAGGGCGGTGGCAGGGACTTGGTGGAAGGTGCAGGCAGCCAGCCATGGTCAGGGTTGGTCGGCAGGAGGACTCTCTTGGTTCTGCCGCCACCTTCAAGGGCCTGGAGGCCCTGCGTGGTGCTGGAGCTGCATTCTTAAGGAAGAGCCCCAGTGGCTCCTCATATCCTGTAGTATGAGTGCCATACAGTAAGTGCCTTTAAAATATTCTCTTAATTCAGGCACTGAAATAAAATGGAACTTTGTTTCCTGTTTGAATTCTAGCGGTGGTTTTCAGTTAGTCACAAGTGAGCTATCTAGAGCTGCCTTTCAACATGTGGTGAGCAGTAAAGTCCTCCTAAGGCCCGAGTCCTCCTGGGGCTTCGTCCCAGCCCTCTCAGAGTGCAACCAGTTGGCAAGGTATTGTCCACGTCCATGCACATGGGCGCCAGGGACCAAGGTGCAGTCCGCTGTGTCAGGGCACCGCTGAGGGACGACCTCCTCCGGTCATTCGAAAAGGAAAACGCAGACCCTGCCTCCACTCTGCTGAATTAGTTCTGAATTAGCAGCAGGGAGGGAAGGTTGACGCCCACCAGTGAGCAGGTGGTCCAGCAGTCAAACTCGGCGAAAGGTCAGCGCACCAGTCACTGTGCTCCTGAGTCCCCGAGGCTCATGAGGAGAAGTGAGCGTCTTCAGGTGTGTCATGGAGGTGACCACGGGAGCAAAGTTCACACTCATCCGAGCTTCATGGCCAGAGCAGCTCAGGGGCACTGGCAGCGTCCTGCACGTCTGCGAGCCGAGGTCCTTAGCCTCTGTCCCTCTCTGCCCCACACCATGGAGCACATTCGGTTCAATCCTTGTGTATTTCACACCAATCACAAAATTGCTGTGGAAGGTACTGGCAGGTCCGATGCAGTTTCAAACACAGATTCTACAGGAAGTGGAGGCTGACCCCGACAGCAGTCTGGATGCCTTTTCCCTGATCCCAGGGAAGCGCGTACAGAATTCCTCCTTTCTCTTTAGAACGCTGGGTTCTTTCTGTTGTAAAAGACAGTTTTCTTTCTCTTTCCCCTCCCCTCTCTCCCCCAGACGGCGCAGACGGTCCTGGTGGTGGTGGTGGTGTTTGGGATATCTTGGCTGCCCCACCACGTCATCCATCTCTGGGCCGAGTTCGGGGTCTTCCCGCTGACCCCGGCCTCCTTCTTCTTCAGGATCACGGCCCACTGCCTGGCCTACAGCAACTCCTCGGTGAACCCCATCATATACGCGTTTCTCTCCGAGAACTTCAGGAAGGCCTACAAGCAAGTGTTCAAGTGCCACGTCCACAACGAATCACCGCCCAGTGACAATAGAGAGACCAGAAGTCGAGTGGACACCCCTCCGTCCACCAACTGCACTCACGTGTGAGCCCAGGCCCAGCTCTCCCGGTGCGAGCCCACCCAGGCCCTGGGCGGCCTCTGCGGTTCCCACCTTTCAGATGCGTGTTCAAGAGTAACTCTGACCCACTTAGGAACTCCCAGGTTCAGTGAAGAGCGTTCTTCAGTCTTATTTTCTTCCTAAATTGTAATTCAGAAACAAAACAAAAAGGCCAACCAGTTCTAGACCTCTTAAAGAGGTCAGTAGAGTTCTATAATGTGTTCAATTCTTCATGAAATAAGAACAGGCCCCATAAATATAGTGAAGAATATCTGCAATCTACATTTTAAAGTAGATTTATTTAGAAAAAAAAACTTTGATGTTTTAATCCTCAGTTTTAAGAGAAGTCATATTAGAAGCTATGTGTTTTAAAGTATGGTTGTGCACGTAGAGTGATGACTGTCATCCTTCAGCTGTTTACACACGTCTGCACTGTGGAGAGAGGCCCCCTGGAGTCTGTGGAGTGGGTGGCCTCTGCTCCCCTGGTAAGCCGCATGCAGGCCTTCTGCAGATAGGCTGCACCTGTCTGTGACCCCGAGGCCATCAAGTCCACCTCAAGAGGACAGTGTAGGCTGTGTCAGGAGCTCTGTCCCTGAACTTGGGCTCTTGTGGTTCACTGTGTGGACCAGAGGAAGGAGTTGCTGTGCCCTGCTTATGGGAGCTGCACAGGACGTATTGCAGGCTGCTGCTGAGGTTTGGCGTGTGCAGCTGGCGAAGCCCAGAGCTGGGCCTGCAGCGGAGCCACCATGAGGGCTTAGAAAGTTGGTGAGGATGATGTGGAGACAGTAGGTTATTGGGGCAAAGGTTGGATCAGTAAGTCCCACGAGCAGTGGTCTTGCCACATGGACAAGGCATGCCCATTGTTTGATAAATATCATCAGATGAAAACAAATCTCATGAAAGAAAATACCAGAAACATTCCGTCTTATATGAGAATAGGCTTTTTCATCAAATTTGTACCAATGTTTAATGTATTTTTCACCAAATATCATTCCCTCTGGTAATGTTGATTTGGAGTTAAGATCTTCACACTAGAGTTCCAAATGTGATTTTCACAATAATTTCATGTTTATTCATGTTAACAATGAGAAAATGATATGGACTATCAAATCGTGTGTACTAGGAAAGTCATTTTCAGGTGCAAGACTAGTGTATTTTTGGACACTAAAACAGGGAGATTTCTTGTGAAAAGGGTTTTGTGAAGCATATGCCTGTGTCAAATCAGAACTCCATGTGAAATGTAAAATTTTAGATTAAAAAACCCAAGTCCAGCGGGAGCCTTTGGCACCCTAACTTTGCTAGTTCATAACTATACCCCGGTGCACAGGGTTTACCTTTGGAAAGGTGTAAGTAACTCTGGACAGAATAGGAGAAAATTGTTAGGATGATGAGAAATTATGAGGTTTCATGAATATTCTAGGGAAGGAGGTGGGACAGGTGGAGGTGAAAGAGCTTTGTGAGTCCTGTGCATGGGCGGTTTTTGCACTTTATTGAAATACGGGAGCAGAAAATTAGTATCCTGGGGATGAGACCCCATGGGACTGGGGAGCGGGAAGCTGCCGCTGCAGACCTGCAGACCACAGGGCCAGCCCGTGCACGGGCCACGCTGTGGAGTGCTTCCTGTGCTCCAACCTGCTTGCCTGGGCTTCGCTTCAGGGTTCAGATCACAGCACTTGAATGGGACTGTTGAAAACGCGGGGGTGATGCTGCTTTTCTTGGATCGTGAGTGAGCCTGCTTCAGGGTCTATTTCCCCTGTTCCTGCATGGCCTTGGTCCTCCCCCGATGCTGCTGGTCCAGCACAGGCTCGAGTAATAATGCACTTGCACCCCCACCCACCCCGGTTTGCTTTACATATGTGCAAGCTGCGGAACATGAATGCAGACTGCTACACTTAATCTTTAGGTAGCTTGTTCTTCCTGCACATTGCCATTCTAGTCAGTTGCTCCTGTTTTGAGTTTAGGTCGAGTCTTCTTCTAAAACAAATTTGAGTATGGGCAGTAGCTTACTTCCTGCAGTGATCTAAACCTGTGTGAAATGATCTGAATGGGTGGTTCTGGGCGCTCTGTGGCAGAGCTGTTACCTGGAGAAGTGTAGGAGCCCTGTGCCTCTGCCGGGCGTTTGCAGGTGTTGTCCCTAATATTAATTACCATGCCTGGTGTGGAAGTGCCTTCCCTTGTACGACTGAGCTGCGAGGCCTTTGTGCGTCTGGGAGAGGTGTACCTCTCCTTCGGGCAGCCAGGCAGTGAGGAGGTGCTGCCTGTGCCTTTGAAGTCAGGCTGTGAGAACCACGCTCTCAGAGTACTTCAGAGAGAACTGAGGCTTTCTGCCCAGGTTTGGCTGCTTCAGGGCCCGAAACACTGCCACTTTTCTGTGATTTTTGCTTTTACATGGGGAAACAGATGGGTTCAGGAATATTTAAACAGATGAAATGCTTGCTCTTTTATGTGTGCAGATGACAACTCCGGTTTCCCACTGATGAACATGGTGATGTGGGTGGGAACACTCTCCTATTTTACCTTCCTAGGAGATATCCTTAAAGAGTCATTCTGGGTTATTCTGATCACGCATGAGCTCAGCAGCATGGCAGACTAGGGCCAGTTTCAGGATATTTTAGGACAAGCACTTTTGCTTGATCTACAGTGTCTTATTCTACACATTGGGAGTAAAGTCATCATTTCCTGACCCCTCCCCAACCTCCTGTCTCTCGTCTTCTCCTCTCTGCTAGCTTCTTGCAGAGTTCATCACCCTAATGCTTACCACGGTTGAGTTCCTCCAACCCTGACGGCGTGAGTCGGTGGAGAGCAGAGGGGATGTCTGCATCACATGAGTCACACGGGGTGCAGACTTCTTGTGACTCAGCTTTGAGTCCTGCTGCTGGTCGTCTCGGGTGCACTGAGACCTGCAGTGCTAATTCTACTGCTCGTGGAATCCGAGACTGGCAGCCTCTGTGCAGGGGAGGACAGCACACCTGAGCCTCGGCTCCCTTCCCCTGTGGCCACAGACACCTCGCAGAGCTCCAGTGCCGGGGTTGGAGCAGCACTGCCCTGAGGAAAGCAAGGTGCCGCCAGCTTCCTCATGCTCTGCTTCAGTGACTTGCCACATCCATGCGTGTGACTCAGCAGCCGTGGGAAGTGGGAGAATGCATCCGTGTGGCTTCTTCTCGGGAAACTCACCGTCTGCCCAGTGTGAATTTCATTTGCATGGGCTGCAAATGTTTCCTATGTGTTAAAGCGGCTTGTCGGTGGCTGTTGGAGGGAATCAGATTCTTTTTGCCTGTTAAGATGTTGCACATTAGGTTTCTTCTCAATTAGATGCTGATGACCTGTTCATGACTTGCGTATTTTATGACTGCAGATAGAGTGAAATTCTTAAATTCTCACCCTAATTTGTTGGCATGGAAATAAAAATGATCATATGGGAATTATACCAGGTTTTAATTGACAGCGAATTTGGTGTTTTCTCCCTTGGAAGTGGAGAAGCTGAGCTTGACGTACCATTTGCGATGCTCAGACACCTTTGGTACGCTGTGCCTGGGCAGGGCGAGCGTTTCTGCTGTCTCTGATATTGGCATTGTGATGCACTGGTCAGGGGCGTGGCTGGCTCGCTGGTGAGGGTGTCTTTTTCTTGGTGTGGCAGGCTGGCCTGCCATCCTGAGTCCACCATATCTACTTCCTGAGCCAGCTGTAGAAATGCCAGCAGGCCCCGAGCAGATGCTTCTCTGCGGGACTCAGTGCTGCCCGTGAAGTGGCTGGTGAGCTCTCCTGCGCCCCATCAGCTTCGTCATGTGCCCTACACACTAGGGCTCTGTCCTGGTGCATCCGTAGAGGAAGGGCCAGGATGGTGGGTGGCAGTGCCGAGACAGGGAAGGTGGCATGTGAGAAACCACCCCAGGTGGGGTTCCCATCCCTCTCTCAGTACTGCTGCTCCTGCTGTGTTAGATCACTGCTCGAGGAGCAGATCCCTTAGCGGGAGGTTGCAATGGCGCGTCTGTGGGGAAAACTTCCTCTTTCTGCCGGAGAGCGGTTTCTGGATATCACAAGGTACAAGGCACAGCTCCAGATTTCTAACTGCTAGAGAAGTCAAAGGGAAGAAAAGACCACTGGCCGCCAGAGTATGTGGAACTGGGTTCAGTAAATGAGCTCTGTAGCCGCATGGGGAATGGGGATCCTTGCAGCTGCCTCTGGGCTGGACTGAGTTCCGTGCCCTCAGGTTCAGGGGACCCTGGACACTGAATCAGTTCAGCTGGTTGCATGTGGATTGTGAAGGGGCCTTGCGTCCTCACACTCTGAAGGTCTTGTGGACCTGCCAGCACTTTAGTTCCCTTCAGCGGCTGGCTTGGGACAGCCACACCACCATGCCATGTGATGGTGTCCTGCGGTGTCCAGGACCTAGGGGGGTCCAGTGCCACTCTTCCAGATGGCAGGCACCCCAGGGAGTGGGGCTGGCCCTCCAGGCGCTCCCCAGGGTGGGGGGGCCTTGCAGGGCAGGTTTGTCTGTGGGGCCTACCTGCTGATGTGTCCCGTGGAGGAAGAGGGTTTCTGGGGACTGAGATCAGTGCCTGTCCTGGACAAGGATGGCACTTCAGGCCTTCTGGATGTCACGGGCTGATCCAGGCACCTAAATTGTTCATGAGATCACAGGGCATGATTTCAGATAGGCTTCTCCTCCCAGATCCGCCCACACGTCTCTGCTTCAGTCAGCCCGGGGCCGTGCGTGGAGCAGTAACTGACAATCAGCTGGAGAAGAGGTGGTTTAGGAGCGGGCCATCCCTCTGTGGAGCTGACGTTTCCAGTGACTCTTTCCTTCCCACCAGGGTTTCCCCTGTGTTTGTCTTTCATGCTCTTCTGCTCCTCTCTTATGGTTAGTTGTATTTCTGCACTTGGATCTTGCAGGGTCTGTCAGGGTTGAGGGGTTTGCAAAAGCCCAGGCCCACACCTCCCGTGTCCTCACGGTTGTGTCTGGATTCAGGATTTCCCTGTTTGTACAGCAGGGTGTAAGAAACACGAGCTTCATAAGCAAATCAGACTGTACCAGATCTCAGGGGCCTTCAGTCAGATGCATGAGAGCAGGCCTCACTGGGGTGCTGCCCCCGATGGGCTTTGTGCCCCTGAGAACTGGCTCCCTGGGAGTGGTGGGCCTGTGTCCTTACTTCTGAAATGGTGTCACTCAAAGCCAACGTTGGCCAGCAGCATGAGAAAGATCCCAGCTGCGGTCTCAGAGGGCAGCGGCAGCAGTGCTATGCTCTGGTCTCCTTAGGAGAAGGTCCTCAGCTTCACAGAGCAACAGAATCCCCAGGGGCTGCTCAGCAGACTGCTGGGCACTCCTCCTGGTTGGCACCGGGGTGGGCTGGAGTGAGGTCTGAGATGTGCATTCTCTTGGTGAGTCAATGCTGCTGGCCCAGAGGCCGGGTTTTGGGAACCACTAGCTGGTGACTGGTCAGGAGGTGAGGCTGGAGCCCAGGGTCCGTGGTATTTGCCATATGGCCTTCACCTGCACTCCCAGAGTCAGGAACTTTCCAGGCTGAGAGATGGCCCTTCACAGGTCTCAACTTCTGTGGTTCTGTGGGAAAAGGAAATTGCATGGGATTTAAATCACTCGTTTTCTTATTGTTTACATTGATTGGATTCACAGTATCTGTTCAAATACCACGTCACGCCTGCCACAGAACTGGGGTGTCCAAGAGCAGGAGGGATTGATTGGCCTGCCCTGGAGGTTTCAGAGCTGGTGGCAGAAAGGAAAGGGCACCTATGCATTCACTCTGCCCCCACCATACCAAGGTCAAAATGGCTGCGGGATGGAGTTTTGAACGGGATGTTTAGTGTTTTAACTTAATGTTTAAATTAAATATGTGCATGTTTTTCTATGTGGCTGTTAGTTTTTGCTGACGTTATTCTCTACAAGAGATAAATGTAATATTCTTTATCATTAAAACTTTTACTTAAACATTCCCTGATAACATGAGTAGTGTGAGCAAGGAAAACAATCTGTGTGTGTTGTATTTTGATTTCACTGACCTGTGACTGCTCACATGCTGCTCTACAGATCACACTGGACCTGGTCTCCTGACGGTGGGCGCTGCAGCTCTCACCCTCTAGGGAGCTGGGTGCAGACTCATCTCATCACTGTTAGCTGCAGAATGATTGCCGCAGGCTTCAAAGCCAGAACCCAAAACTAAGAGTTAAACTTCATCCATTTACCACCACAGAGTCACTCTGAATCACCCTACCTCTGTGCGCTGCATGAAATCTGGCTGGACTTTGTGATGTGAACCCGTTTTCTTTAATTGAAATAAAATTTGTTCTTCAAAGTGTTTAGTTTAAGAGTGTGCTTCCCCTCATTTCATAAGGCATTTCCCCGAATACGGGAGCCCAATCTGCCGTTGTGAATGAAGTTAGCTTCATTATTACTGGATGCCCGTATGGAAGATAGGACAAATCCTGTTGGTGGAAAATTGACACTTCTATCTGTAAATGTTTTCTTCTTTCCCTTCTCACCCTCCTCTTCTCTTTCCCTTTATCTATTTTTAAAAAATAATGAATTCTCTTATTTTTGTAAAAAGAATACAAAATTTACTACAAGAAATTACAAAGAAGGTAGCATTTGCCACAATTCCACCCCAGAGGTGGCCTCCTTGCCACCGTCTGAGCATCCCGTGGATGCCTCCAGGGTCAGGCGCAGCAGCAGGACCGGCTGGGCAGGACCGGCAGCTGGTTATACTGTGCAAATCCTTTAAAAAATCAGTGACTTCCATTTCACTTAAATCCCCCACCAAATGAAGTGAAGTTGGATCAGTCGCTGGACTTTGAATAGCTGATAGCTGTAAGTTTAAACAAAGCTCATCAAAATTCTGGGGAACTGGAGTCCTGGCGTGTTTCCACAGAGGCAGTGAGCCGCGGCAGGGTTCGTTTCCTGCTCAGACATGAGCTACTCACTCCTTCCAGCCCCCAAGCCTGCCTTCATCTTATATTTAGATCTTTTATGAACTTTATTTACAAGTACAAATTGATAAATTGCTTACCAACAGGCTTTAAAAAAAACAACTCTGATGTTCCACCTTTTGGACTTTTTAGACTGCATTTCAATACAGTTGTGATCACTCTCTGGACACCATGCTGAATCCCGCTTCTTGATTCACTCAGGTGTCGGGGTGAGAAGCCCTTGTGAGTGTTTCTTTTTAATTTACAATAATTGTAAATAATTATGGGCACAATGTGGTGTTTTGATACATGAATTCGTTGTGTAGTGAGCAAATAGGGTACTGAGCATATCAGCACCTCAAAAAATTTGTCGTTTATTTGTGATGAGAACATTAAAAAATCCTCTCTTTTAGTGTTGGGAGAACACAGAGTATATTCATTACCTAGAGTCACCCCACGGTGCAGTCAGATAGAGAACTTCTTGCTCCTGTCTCGCTGTTACTTGGCAGTTACTGATCAACCTGTCCTTGTCCTTTCCTGCCCACTCCACATGGCCTCTGGTACCCACTGCTCACTCTCAACGTCTCAATATGAACTCCTTCCGATTCCACACGTAAGCAGGATCATGCAGTTTTGTCCGTCTGCCTCATGTTGACATAACGCCCTCTAGGGTCATGCAGGTGAACTGAACCACGTTCCCCGGGGTACATGTACCTCACTTTCTGTACCCACTCACCTGTTGATGGACTCTCAGGCTGATTCCGTCTCTTGGCCGTTGTGAACAGTGCTGCATTAAGCAAGGAGTGCAGATTCTTTCTGGCATACATACATTGGATGTATGCCTAGTAGTGCCACTGCTAGATCATAGGGTCGTTTTATTTCATTTTTTTGGTGGGGGAACATCCATTATGGTCGCATAAAAGCAAAGGGGATATCAGTGATCACTTAGCCTGATGATTTCTAACCTTTTAGAGAATAGGAATTCTTTATTATACATAAATAATTCTTGGACTTTTGTATAAAACTAAATGTACTTTTCCTATATGTGGCTAGAGAAAATACAGTGTGAAAAATATAACTGCACATCAATATTTCTCACGAACTTAGGGATGCAAGGCTGGTTCAATATACGGAAATCAATAAATGTTATTCACCACATCAATAGACTTAAAAATAAGAACCATATGATCATCTCGATAGATGCGGAAAAAGCATTCGACAAAGTACAGCATCCCTTTATGTTCAAAACTCTAGAAAAACTAGGGATAACAGGAACTTACCTCAACATTGTAAAAGCAATCTACGCTAAGCCTCAGGCTAGCATCATTCTGAATGGAGAAAAACTGAAGGCATTCCCTCTAAACTCTGGAACAAGACAGGGATGCCCTCTCTCTCCACTTCTGTTCAACATAGTTCTCGAAACACTGGCCAGAGCAATTAGACAGACGAAAGAAATTAAAGGCATAAAAATAGGAAAAGAAGAACTTAAATTATCACTATTTGCAGATGATATGATTCTATACCTAGCAGACCCAAAAGGGTCTACAAAGAAACTATTAGAGCTAATAAATGAATTCAACAAAGTGGCAGGATATAAAATCAACACGCATAAATCAAAGGCATTCCTGTATATCAGCGACAAATCCTCTGAAATGGAAATGAGGACAACCACTCCATTCACAATATCCTCAAAAAAAATAAAATAAAATACTTGGGAATCAACCTAACAAAAGAGGTGAAAGACTTATACAATGAAAACTACAGAACCCTAAAGAGAGAAATAGAAGATCTTAGAAGATGGAAAAATATACCCTGTTCATGGATAGGCAGAACTAACATCATCAAAATGGCGATATTACCAAAAGTTCTCTATAGGTTTAATGCAATGCCAATCAAAATCCCAAAGGCATTTCTTGTAGAAATAGAGAAAGCAATCATGAAATTCATATGGAAAAATAAAAGACCCAGAATAGCAAAAACAATGCTAAGCAGGAAGTGTGAATCAGGCGGTATAGCGATACCAGACTTCAAACTATACTACAGAGTAATAGTAACAAAAACAGCATGGTACTGGTACCAAAACAGGCGGGTGGACCAATGGTACAGAATAGAGGACACAGAAACCAATCCACAAAACTACAACTATCTTATATTTGATAAAGGGGCTAAAAGCATGCAATGGAGGAAGGATAGCATCCTCAACAAATGGTGCTGGGAAAACTGGAAATCCATATGCAACAAAATGAAACTGAATCCCTTTCTCTCGCCATGCACAAAAGTTAATTCAAAATGGATCAAGGAGCTTGATATCAAATCAGAGACACGCTATCTGATAGAAGAAAAAGTTGGCTACGATCTACATTCGGTGGGGTCGGGCTCCAAATTCCTCAATAGGACACCCATAGCACAAAAGTTAATAACTAGAATCAACAAATGGGACTTACTCAAACTAAAAAGTTTTTTCTCAGCAAAAGATACAATAAGAGAGGTAAATAGGGAACCTACACCCTGGGAACAAATCTTTACTCCTCACACTTCAGATAGAGCCCTAATATCCAGAGTATACAAAGAACTCAAAAAATTAGACAATAAGAGAACAAACAACCCAATCAACAAATGGGCCAAGGACCTGAACAGACACTTCTCAGAGGAGGACATACAATCAATCAACAAGTACATGAAAAAATGCTCACCATCTCTAGCTGTCAGAGAAATGCAAATCAAAACCACCCTAAGATACCATCTCAGTCCAGTAAGATTGGCAGCCATTATGAAGTCAAACAACAACAAGTGCTGGCGAGGATGTGGGGAAAAGGGTACACTTGTACATTGCTGGTGGGACTGCAAATTGGTGCAGCCAATTTGGAAAGCAGTATGGAGATTTCTTGGAAAGCTGGGAATGGAGCCACCATTTGACCCAGCTATTCCCCTTCTCGGTCTATTCCCTAAAGATCTAAAAAGAGCATGCTACAGGGACACTGCTACATCGATGTTCATAGCAGCACAATTCACAATAGCAAGACTGTGGAACCAACCTAGATGCCCTTCAATAGACGAATGGATAAAAAAAATGTGGCATTTATACTCAATGGAGTATTACTCTGCATTAAAAAATGACAAAATCATAGAATTTTCAGGGAAATGGATGGCATTAGAGCAGATTATGCTAAATGAAGCTAGCCAATCCCTAAAAACAAATGCCAAATGTCTTCTTTGATATAAGGAGAGTAACTAAGAACAGAGTAGGGACGAAGAGCATGAGAAGAAGATTAACATTAAACAGGGATGAGAGGTGGGAGGGAAAGGGAGAGAGAAGGGAAATTGCATGGAAATGGAAGGAGACCCTCAGGGTTATACAGTGGAGGGGGTAGAGAGAGAGGAGGGGAGGGGAGGGGAGAGGTGGGGAGGGGGGAGGGTGGAGGATGGGAAAGGCAGCGGAGCACAACAGACACTAGTATGGCAATGTGTAAATCAATGGATGTGTAACTGATGTGATTCTGCAATCTGTGTATGGGGTGAATGTGGGAGTTCATAACCCACTTGAATCAAAGTGTGGAATATGATATGTCAAGAAATTTGTAATGTTTTGAACAACCAAAAATAAAAATTAAAAAAAAATATTTCTCACGAACTTAGATATGAAATTCCTCAGCAAAACACTGGTAAATCACATCCAGTAATGTTTGCTGGAAATTCAGCAAGAGTTTAGGTTTTAGGTACTTTTTCCACACAGAAAAGATGATTGTGAGACGTCTAGGTACGTCAACTTGCTTGGCTGCAGCGATCTCTTCACATTGTGTTTTATACCCTAAATGTACACCCTACCCCTATGACCAGGTAGGATTCGTTCCAGAAGGCAAGGCTGGATGGTATCCAGACATCAGTGAGTAGAATCCATCATAGCCTCAGGCTCCTAAGGGAAAAAATCCTACGGTCATAATGATACAGAAGAGCATCAGGCTAAACCCAAAGCCAAGTCCTGGTTACAAACTCTGCAAACTAAGGCCAGAGGAAACTCCTCTAGTTGATCAGCTGCATCAAACTTACTTGCAAAAGACTGAATGCTTTCCCCTGTGGCTGAGGAAAAGGCAAAGATGTAGCAGAGGAGACTGTCTCAGCAGCACAGTATGGAGGTTCCGACCACTGCAATAAGGCAAGAAAAAGTAAAGGGCTCGCAGCCAGGAGGGAAGGGTCAGACTACTGTAGTGACAGGCGGCCTCCACAGGAGTTCCGCCAAGTCCTTAAGAGGCCTGAACCAGTAAGTGATGTCAGCAGGTCACGGCATAACAGACCAACACATGAAACACAAAGTGAGAACTGCTACAGGAACCGGGTCACTTGAGTGATTTGTATTTTATCAATCACAGGGTGACTTCCAGGCACTCAAAGTCGAGAGGCTTGTA